TTGACATTTTCATGAGGTTTCTTGGGAATTTTGAATACAGGCGGGTCCCCAAAGGCCGCAACGCCCTACATTCCAAATCGGCGAATCTGTTAACATTTTCTAGAGGAACTATGTTTAATACTTATGGTTGAACACGGCTAAATAACCAGGTTTGACCTATACTTTAAGCATCAACCTGATTTTTTTTGTTTTACCTTTATTTTATGGACCCATGTACTGTTGTGCGCAAAATCAATCAGAAAAGTAGGTCATTTATAAATCTCATAACATGGACCTCAAAATATCTGTGAAATCAAATGGTAGGCGCAATATTGGGATGTAATGCTTGCTATTGCTGAGCTGAGACACACTGACTCACTACAAGAGGTGCGTGGGCTTCAAATCTAAGTCGGCCTCAGCGCAAATACGTTTTAACTAAGGGGGCACGTCTCTAGTCGAAGAGTTACCTGCTGTCTAGGAAATGTCTAGAGTTGACTGGGCAGAAACCTACCAGACCGATTCACATACGATTTTGTTGAATGGAAAAGTTTCAAGGACAACAACAGGTGCAGACTGATGTCGTACTATTAACTGACTCAACAACCAGACACTACTGACACGGCACGAGGCTCTCGAATACCATGGCAAACAAAAAAATTGGAGAGATCGGTTAGGCAGATTAATATATATGCCTGGATCAAACGTGTATATCGACCATAGTATTCTTGCCTCAATTGTTTGGCCTGGTGGTTCGTCAGTCATACCTTGAGCTGACTGCCCGCAGTAGATATTCCTAGATAAACAAATGAAAAGAATGCAGTTGGCATGGAACGCATTATTAGAAAGGAAAAATAAAATTTATGTGCTGACAATCAGACAAGAGCTGAAAATGTTGTTGCCCATGTGCGGATGCTCCTACGTTGTACAGATTATGGTATAAACAAAAAGAGCAAAACAGACGTTAAATGTAAGTATTAAGCATAGGCAGGTTTTTCTTAAGATAATAGGTTAGATACGAGAAGTGTTCCCAAAAAGCATTGAAATATAGACAAAAATATGCCATGACTATTAAGTTCCAAAAAACGAGGTACCTACCAACAGTCCCTATTTAGGCGTCCAAATGTATAACCCGCTCCGTCTAAAGACAATCGACAAAAATTTACTTCGTATTTTAGTTGGGTGATAATCAGAAGAGTCAGTTTTTTGTGCAAGTGTTTGATAGTACAATAGACGGTATAGATGCAGCTCCAAGTTACTCAAAAGTGAAATACATACATTTGGGGCTTCAAACGATTAACTGTATCGACATTAACAATATTTGTTAGATGTTTTGAGTACGAATGTCAGACTTCCACTGACAAGTGCAAAATATTATCAACAATAAGGGAAACTCTGGGATGCATGCGCCATGGAGTACAATGGCGAAGATGAAGGGTCAAGTTGCCCAACGTTTCCTGTAAAAGAATGTAAACGAATTGGCCTCCAGACGTCTTCTAATAGGATACCTCATTCGTATACACAACTGTAATAGTTTTTTTACTATAACAGCCGAAGCCGCCCCAAAGTAAGGTTAACCAAATCATTGCCCTACTTTGCGAAATGACATCTAAGGGAGCAGCTGATAATCAATATCAGAATATGAGAGAAAATAACTAAAGCTCAAAAACAATGAAAACCCAAAAAAACATGAATTTCAAAATGCCTTTGTAGGCAGAACATATAATAGAAGGGGACAGAACGAAGAGCTGTACTTACTTTCACAGAAAGGTTGGATAATTTTGAGCTATAAATGTAAAGTAATCCTTATTTCAATTATTTAAAGTAAATTACAGGGTAACATGTTAGGATCATAAACAAATGAGCTAAAATCAAATACTCCGGAGCATCGGGGGGAAAATGAAATGCCATTAAAAGTTTACTGACTTCAAAAAGATGCCACAACGAAAAAATTTATCTTATGAGGAAAATCAGGTCGTTCACGTTTAGTGCCCTTAACTGAGAGAGATGAATGCTATATTTAAAGTGGAAAATCCTAAACTTTCAGCAAAAATGGCTCCATTCACGGAGACCAAAGGATAATGTAAACAGGTGGTCATGGTGAAAGGTCAAAGGTAAAAGGTCATGCAATACTCAAAATTGCATTTTACATGATATCCACATCTACTATGGAAACAGGTCAGCTTTCAACTTCTCAATTTCCGCTTCTTCACACGTGAGGTGACGTGCCAGGAATGGGAAAACAGAGGGCTAATAAGCCGATGTACGGCAAGACATATGAAGGAACCCTTAGCACATTGTACGGTAAGACTTCGCAACCATTAGTTCAGAGGGCAGAGGGTGGACGACCTCACTAAGGATGCGATCAGCAAATTGCTTGACCGTTTTAAAGTGGCGCTATAACATAATGTCAGCTAAAAACTGTTCGATTATGACAATAGCGTCTGTTGGCCTCAAGTACTTAGGATTACTCCTATGTTAGGATAGTGGCAGTATGAAACTTGATGGACAAGGCACATTTCAGAGTATTACTTTGGTCTCCCCAAATCTCCTGAGCCAGAGGTTGACTAAAATTGTGTCTGCTGATCCCCAAATATGCAGCCTTGAATTTCGAGTGCATAATAAAAGCACAACGGAACACACAGGAGGGGGTGCATTCGAGCAGCTATTAACGAGTCCTGTCTGAAGATAACGCAAACATGGGAGAGAATTAAGAGTAACAAGAACGTCAACCCCAGTCCTTAGGATTCTAGAGGAAAGATGGCTATGAGAGTTGCTCTCCTAGCAAACAACCTCATGTGATAAATATGAAACAGAACAGTTCGTGCTAAATCACGTCCCAGTGTATGATGACGTGCAAATATAATTAAATCTGTGACTTTCGCCTACGACGCACATATACTGCGATCTCCACAGACCAAGTGAATACAGCCGCAATGGTCAACAACTCAGTGTCATCTAAGGTATTAGTTCCACATCGATATTTTGTTGCTGCTGCGGGGTTAGTCATCATCTCAAAGGAACAGCTGCCGGCTGAATAACACGTAACAAGGACCAACGTCCAAGTCAATGGGCAGAAAACTATTTTCTAACTGTTATCTCTGGCGACCATCAACTATTTTTCATTTACCACGCATTTCAAACAAGTGACGCCCTAGATAGTTAATGCACTTAAGAAGAATGGCCCGGTTATCAATAATTGTGAGCCATCCATTAGTAACCTTGCTTAGATGCAGACAAATGTTTATTAAAAGTACTGCACAGGGTGGTTCAAATTCAACAGGAGGCTTGAACTAGGGGTTAAGAAGCTTTTTTAAAAACCTGGTCTTACGTCGCGTTTGTAGAAATCGGTTCAGACAGAGAACGGGAAACTTATAAGAGATAATATCATATTCAGAACGCTTTGTCTACAGGGTCACATCCAAGGTTCATCGCAGAATCGAATCAAGCATGATTTTGCGGTCATCTTCACCGAAATTTTTGAAATCGGTTGCAGATCATAAAATAAGCCGTCTGAAAAGCCTAATCTAGTAAATAAACAAACATGCGAAACATGACGGCAAAATAATCAGCATGTTTTCTGTCGATGTACACACTTACTTCATTTGAAAAGTCTCTCTGTAAAGGTGGCTGCAGTTCCGGAAACAAGTAAGACCGTCTGGAATAGTAAAGCTAAAACGTTTCAAGGAAAAACAGTCAGATTGGAAAAGTGAACGCAACGATCACGTAGCGATAATACGCGTTAGTGAACACGCTGTCATGCTTACGTGACTTTATGATAAGGCGTTAGACAAAACGTTTAGCAGAAAAACATACGCATAAACTGCTAGCGTATGTATTTCGAACGATACTGCAACCTGTTAAGAACCACATACCACATATTTCGTAAAGCCAAGTTCGTAGGCAAATTCAGTTAGCGGTTCCAAGGTTTTAAGGAGTGTTGTCTTTCCACATGTTTTCAGAATAATTCGGTTCCGTGTGATAAATAAACTACTCTCACTGAGGAAGAGCTTGGATGAAAACCAGAAAGACTTTACCTTAACAGGAAGGCTATCTGAAACTCGTTGTGGATTTCAGCCAAAACAGTGCACCGTGCCAGGTCAAGGATGTGTCGAATTTGCTTTCTAAAGGATAAAGTGTTTTAAATTTGAAACGGTTTTTATACCCCGTCAGCTGACGCATATCAAGCACAGCTCTATTTCCATGTATATCCGACTCTGGACCGAAAAACCACATCTCTAGTAGTTTCTCAGTCCCTTCGAAAATATGATCCGACTGTCCTCCATTCATGTTAACGGTCATTGTGTTAAGGTGAAAGCTGAAAATGTAAAAACGGAAAGGTATTACTTCTACTGGTTGGGTATTTAACAATAAAAAATAACCCAAGCTCCATAGGAGACAGCAAGGGATAATTTCAGCACGTTTTTCATTTGCTTGCTTGATTTCTAAAATTACTACGCACAATTCCGAAAAATAACCGTCAATATCTATTTCTGGTGGTAACTTGTTGACAGGCGAGTTCAAAAAAGCAACTTCCCGGATGGAATTTAGTAGGCAGACTTTCACATGTGAGCTAATGCTTTCTGCATTTTCTCAAGCGCGTTTTAGACACATATCATTCGAAGTTTGCCAAAATTTAATTGATTGCTGCCATTATATCCAGTACAAAGTCAAAACTGCTTCTTATTGCAATGTGAATCCGTTTTTGTAAAAAATATTTTCTTAAATGCTTAGACATTAATAATCCTCCACAAGAGAGAGAGTTTTTTTTTCTAAAAATCCCTTAGGAGCTTTTTCATTGTCTGCTCCTACTTTTTCCACACCATGACTCAGGTCAACTGGCCTCGCCAACAGTCTGAGATACAATTTTTCTGCTAACACTACACATATGAACAAATAGGGCACTCAAAGATAATTTACCCACATATCCCTCGATATACTGATACTGATACTGAAGCACTCATTTACTTGCCACATAATCGATTGATTTTTACACGGACTACGATATTCTGTATACAGCAAATTGGTCCGTTACGTGTTAACTTTAAAGCAAGTTCGTAGTCGAATCCTATTTTTTATATATCCAGAGCCATTCGGGGGCATTAGCTAATGGCTTGCTAAGTAAGATCTTAAGAAACCTCGTTAGAAAATAAATATCCTTTGAATAATTAACTTCCGAAAACGCCTGCAGAAATTAAGTCTGTTGTAAAATACATTAACTCATTCTAGCATCCAGAGGTTTACAACGAAATTTAGACATGACGGTCACTGCCTCGAGTAGCAATCGCATTTTAAAATGGTATCACGATTGTAGGTATGTAAGAATAAGACAAGAAAATGGGACTTGAAATCTTAGAAGAGCACTTGATGTCTTTTTATACACTAGTGAGAACTTATTCGTTTGCTAGGCAGGTACTCGAGAACCTGGATCGATAAAAAATGTGTGACATGCCCAAAAACATTTCAGAACATTCCATATGTGTCGAATTTGCAGTCAAATGACTAAAACCTCGACTGTAAATATTCATGTTGAGTGTTCCAAATAATTTTTTATAGATTTTATAATACAGACTTTCAAAATTTGTTTTTATCTAAAATATAACAAAGCCGTGGGCTGCGAAAAGCATACCTTCAAAAGGTGTAGGCTAGCTAAACATACACTTCATCCAGTAAGCCAAGATCCGTTTCGAGCTGTTGACAGACAGAAATAGAGCGATAATTTTCGCGCGATCCAGCACCAGAAAAATGAAAAACACGAGACGGGAACGCAACTTCGAAAAGAATGCCAACCGTGTTTCTGCTCAGCGAATTCAAACAAAGGTATCTTGACATCAAACTGATCGATTAAAACAATTTTGATGATTTCATTTTTAATTACTTTCTCTAGCATCCTTCTCCTGTTTTTGAGTTTAAAAATTGCTAAAAAATCCAGAAGAAGTCTAAATTAAGGTAAGCAGATGGCAGTCTCTCTGGAACGGGGAATGTGTGTTATTTGTTTTAGCTATCTTTTGACAGTTATGATAACAAGGTTTCACGGAGAATAATGTAACGTAGCAACACATAATTATTCACGATATTTTCTGTAGATCAAATGCTTGCCGTCACAGACTGCACGTATGTTCCGTCGTACAACCGTGAATGTGAACGTACACGTTGCGCAGTGGTAAGAGCGTTGCATTTCTAACTAACAAGGTCGGGGATTCAATAAACGGGGATAGTTACGCCTTGGATTGGGCGCGGCTGGCTGATGGCAGCTAAAAAAACAGAAATGGCTATTCCATCAGCCTTGTCTTTGGCGCTAATGTATTTATTTACAGAATAATTAAGTAAATGAATCATCGACAATGTCACATAAGACAACATTACAGTATATATATATATATATATATATATATAT